TATTATGACTGCTGATGGTACACCATTACCTTTAGCAGGTGTTGGTTCAGTTAATACACATAATTTGTCACTGTCAGATGTCTATTGTGTTCCAGCTCTTACTTTGAATCTTATCTCTATTGGTCAATTGTGTGATTCTAGATACTTAGTTCAGTTTTCTTCTACTGGTTGTCATGTGCAGGATCCTCAATCTCAGAAGTTGATTGGGATAGGCCGTAGTCAAGGAGGGTTATATGTTCTGGACAATCTAAGATCATCACACGTTGCAGCCTCTGGTGTTGATTTGTCATCTTTTTCTTTGAATTCATCGTCTTCTAGTTTTTATTTGTGGCATTCTCGCCTTGAACATGTTTTCGCTAGTCGTTTAAAATTTTTAGTTTCTAAGGGTCAATTGGGAAATATACAAACACATGATATTTCTGATTGTAGTGGTTACAAATTAGCAAAATTTTCTGCTTTACCTTTTCCTCGAAATATTTCTCATTCTGTTGCACCATTTGATCTTGTTCACTCTGATGTGTAGGGACCTGCTCCAGTTACTACAAAATGAGGGTCTCGATATTATGTGTCATTTATTGATGATTATAGTCGTTATTGTTGGGTTTATCTTATGAAGCGATGATCTGACTTTCTTTCTATTTATCGATCATTTAGAGTACTTATTAAAACTCAACATTCAACTGTAATTAAATGCTTTAGATGTGACTTGGGTGGAGAGTATACTTCATCCGAATTCTCTAAATTGCTTGCTCTTGACGGCACAATTCATCAAACCTCTTGTACTAATACCCTACAACAAAATGGTATTGCTGAACGAAAGCATATGTACATTGTGGAAACTGCTCGTTCACTTCTTTTATCTGCCAAAGTTTCCAGTGAGTTTTGGGGAGAAGCAGCTCTTACTGCTGTTTCTTTAATTAATAAGATTCCATCTTCCCACAATTCAGGTTTATCACCCTTTGAAACATTGTATGGGCATCCTCCGGATTACTCCTCATTGAGAGTCTTTGGTTGTACTTGCTTTGTTCTTCGTCCTGAAGTTGAACGTAATAAGTTGACATCTCGCTCTGCTATTTGTGTTTTCTTGGGTTATGGGTAAGGGCAAAAGGGTTATTGTTGTTTCGATCCCATTAATAATAAATTATATGTCTCTCGTCATGTCGTGTTTCTTGAACACATTCCATTCTTCTCCATTTCTGATAATACTCATAACGTGACCAAAACTGACCTCATTTATATTGATCCATTCTCTGATGATATAAACAATTCACCTTCCCATACCCCATGTACTATTGATTCTTCATGTCCTGCAGGTACACATGCTTCAGATCATGCTACCCCTCCTCCTTCTATGGCTTCCCAAGCACCGCCTGAGATTGTTGATCCAGCTCCTGCTTCATCTCTTCCTCGTTATCCTCAACGTATTCGTAAGTCCACTCAGTTACCTGATTTTGATTATTCTTGTTATTCTGAGTCCTTTTGCTATCTTCTAACATCCATTCATAAGTTAGTTGAACCATCTTCCTATAAAGAAGCTATTTTGGATCCTCTTTGGCAACAAGCTATGGCTGATGAAATTTCTGCTCTACATAAGACAGACACTTGGGACTTGGTTGAATTGCCTTCAGGTAAACATACTATCGGTTGTCGTTGGGTTTATAAGATTAAAACCAAATCTGATGGTTCGATTGAACGCTACAAGGCTAGATTGGTTGCTAAAGGTTTTAATCAACAGTATGGTTTAGATTATGAGGAGACTTTTGCTCCTGTTGCCAAGATGACCACTGTTCGTACACTTATTACAGTTGCATCTGTTCGTCAGTGGAGTCTCTCTCAATTGGATGTCAAATATGCCTTTTTAAATGGAAATCTTCAAGAGGAGGTTTATATGGTTCCTCCTCCTGGCCTTTCCCATTCTCCTAGATTTGTTTGCAAACTCAAGAAGGCACTTTATGACCTCAAACAAGCACCTCGTGCCTGGTTTGAAAAATTTTCCACTGTTGTTAGCTCTCTTGGTTTTACATCCAGTCATCATGACTCCGCTTTATTCTTTAGATGCACTTTAGCTGGTCACATTCTATTATTGCTAGATGTTGACGATATGATTATTACTGGTGATGATGTTGATGGAATTGCAAGTTTGAAATCAGAATTGGCTTGTCGTTTTGAAATGAAAGACTTGGGCACACTGTCTTATTTTTTGGGGATCGAAGTTGCTTCTTCTCCTAGAGGTTATCTTATCTCTCAGTCCAAGTATACTATGGATGTCATTGAGCGTGCTCGTCTTATTGATAATAAATCTGTTGATACTCCTCTTGAGTCCAATGCTCGATATTCATCCTCTGATGGTGTCACATTGACTGATCCCACTTTGTATCGCACTATTGTTGGATGTCTAGTTTATCTTACCATCACACGTCCTGATATTGCTTATGCTGTTCATATTGTTAGTCAATTTGTTTCAACTCCTACTACAGTTCATTGGGCAGCAGTTGTTCGTATTTTCCGTTATCTTCTTGGTACATGCTTTCAGAGTCTTTTGTTTCCATCAACCTCATCCTTAGTGCTCCGTGCCTACTTTGATGCTGATTGGGCCAGCAACCCCATTGATCGCAAGTCCACTATGGGTTTTTGTGTATTTTTGGGTGATTCACTTATCTTTGAAAAGTAAGAAGCAGACTGTTGTTTCCCGCTCCTCTACAGAAGCAGAGTATCGAGCTATGGCATCCACCACCACTGAGATTGTGTGGTTGCGATGGTTACTTGCAGATATGGGTGTTTCTCATTCCTCCCCAACTCTCATGTATTGTGATAATACTAGTGCCATTCAGATCTCTCACAACTTTGTGTTCCATGAAAGCACAAAGTATATTGAGATTGATTGTCATATGGTTCATCATCATCTGCAGACTGGCACCATTTCCTTACCTTTTGTTTCTTCATCATTGCAGCTTGCTGACTTCTTCACTAAGTCTCATCCGGTTCATCGTTTTCGCTTTTTGCGTGACAAACTCTCGCTGCTTCTTGCTTTAGCATCTTGAGTTTGAGGGGGGATGAAAACGTGTGTTATATTTAATTATTTATTTATATTTAGTTATTTATTTTAACATAATATATAATTTCCTATTATTGTAAGTTTCCTATTATTTTTAGGTTTCCTTGTAGTAGTATAAAAACTGTTTTTCACTTTCTTTGAAAACCTAATTTTGATGGCTCAATAGATTTTGGTTCTCTCTTTATTCTTCTTCTCCTTCTCCTCTTTTCTTCTTTTTGAATTGATTCAACATATTGGTTTGAAATTCATTATATTGTTATCATTTGTAACATATATTCATGATTTTTTAGTTTGATCATTCATTGTGCACAAATTGAATATGAATTTTTGAAGAAAAAATAAAGCAAGTTATGGGCTTGAAATCCGCTAAAAATCTATGAAAGTATGAGGAGGCCAGCCTGAAAATTCTAAAGAGTTCGATATTTTTAATCCAAGTTTTGGACACCTAAATTTTAATAACACCTATTAAATCTTAGTTGGGGAGAATTTTATGATTTTCTAAAGTTTAATATGAATACACCCCTGAATATCCACACAATTAATTCAAAAATTCCTCAACTAACCTTTCATCTTCAGTATATACGTTAATCTTTTCCGGTGAGCGTCAATTACTATGTGTGTGTGTGTGTGTGTTTTGTAAAATAACGAGATAATTATTGATAATTATTTAGTATTATCATGTTACGTGGATAAGTCTTATCTAGTTTAGAAGATCTATTTTATTCCAATTGTAACTCTTATTTTGGACCCTATAAATATAGGACATTTGTTCATAATAATACATAATTGAGTTTTAACTCTTTATTTCTTCTCTTATTTTCTCTCTTCCCTTTAGTTTTATAACACGTTATTAGCACGATTCTCTCAAAATCAAAACAAATTAGTTAGAATGTAATAATTTTTATAAACATAATCACGTGTACCAAAATTAATTTGGCAACATGCGAATTCTATCTATGCGTATGCATTAATTCAATTTTGTCCAGTTCACGTCCAATTTTTTTCATGGTACCAATTGAAATTTGGAGGCTGCTTCGCCAATTACAATTCATCAATTTCTACCTTTTGATTTTACATCTTTATTATGGGGTAATCAATTTCATGAAGTAGCAATTATTAGATGTTTATGTCATGGCAATTATTAGATTCTTATGAATTCATCTTTAATCCATAGTTTTATGCAACACTACTACATGTTTTCAATTCTTGAATTTGAATTTGTGTCAATTTGAGGTGACAAAAAATTGTACAACCTATTTTAATTCATGTATACGTGTAGCATTAGATATATTGATTTATGTAATTCTTTCTTTTATTTTTTAATGGATGTAAAATATATGTTTACGGTGAAAAATAACTATAAAGCATATATTTTCAAGATTTTTTTTAATACATGTTTGGTAATTAATTTTAAAATATAAATTCATTTCCAATCTATTTGGTAACTATTTTTTATTTGCATGATAATTAATATTCTTTAACTTAATTATATATTTGTATTGTTCAATCATAAATTTTAAATTAATATTATATCATGTAGTTGCTCCTGAAGTAACACAACATTATAATTAATATTCTAGAAAAATATTAATCGAAAATCTATCTATTATAAATAGTTTGCTGATGCTTCTAAAGTAGAACAATATTATAATTAATATTCTTGAAGAATATTAGCTGTTACTGAAGAGCATAAATTATATTTTTCAATATTCTTTTAATTTTTCAATATTCCAGAAGAATATTGACGTATTGATCTTGAAGAAAATAATAATAAAATATAACATACTCCTGAAGTAGCATATGCTTTGAAGAAAATATTATTTTAGTGTTTATTCCTAAAGGAAAATACGTAACTTATGTTATTGACTACTTGATTAATCATTATGTGATATTTAATCACATTGTTCAAAACTAATTGTATTTTCTTTATTGTGTAGTTAATGAAATGACAAACATCACGAAACTCAAGTTTGCTGCACTTGATATATCTGACAAAAATTATCTATTATGGGTATCAATGCTGATATCCATCTTGTCTCAAAAGGTTTGGAAGAGACAATAAAAGAAAGAAACAAATAATTCATGCAAGATAGTGTAAAAGCACTCATCTTCCTTTGTCATCATCTTCACGATGGAATGAAAATTTAATATCTCACTGAAAATGATCCACGGGTTCTTTGGAAAAAATTAACTGAGAGATTTGATCATCAGATGACTATAGTCCTTTCCAAAGCCCGCTATGAGTGGATGCATCTTCGTTTGCAAGACTTCATAACTGTTAGTGAGTACAATTCTGAATTGTTCATAATATGTTCGAACTTGACATTGTCTGGAGAAAAAATCACTGGTGAAGACATGTTGGAGAAAACTTTTTCCACTTTTCACGCCTCGAATGTGCTCCTGCAGTAGAAATATCGCGAGCGTGGTTTTCAAAAAGTACTCAAAACTTATATCTTGCATGCTTGTTGCTGAATAGAATAATGAATTGCTAATGAAAAATCACAGGTTACGTCCAACTGGTTCTGTACCATTGTTTGAAGAAAATGGTACTGCATTGCCTGAAACAAATGCAATATCAAGACATGGATGTGGACATTGGTTTGGATATGGACGCAGATATGCACGCGGAGTAAACCATGGACGAAATAATCAACAAAGTTATCAACAACAAGGCAACAATAACGAAAGTAGCACACCTAAAAGGGTACACGAGAAAGTTGTTTTAAATGTGGAATGAAAGGGTATTGGACACTTACCTATCGTACAACAAAATACCTTGTGAATCTTTATTAAAAATCAATCAAGGAAAAAGAAAAAGTGAAGACAAATTTTGTTGACTATGATAGTCCAATTGATGTAACTCATTTGGATGTCTCCAAATTTTTTACTGATCCAAATGAGAATATTGACCATTTGCTTGGGGTGGTATGATGAAAAATACAGATTAATTTTTTTATTTTTTTTTATGTTTCTAGTATTTCCCTTTAATTTAGAAATTTAGTTTGAAATATGTTTTTACTTTTCGCAAAAATTTTGAAATTTATTATGTATCATTAATTTCACAATATTCATTATGTTATCATTTTAAATTTAAATTCAAGTTTTTTTAACATATATCTATTTTGTTATATTGATAGATTCATGATGGATTGTCAAAACACCTGCTTGATTGATAGTGCAACTACACATACTATTCTTCAAGACAAAATATTTATTGGACTTAACATTGAAAGAAAATAATGTCAAAACAATATCAGGTGCATCGAATATCGTTGAAGGCTCTGGAAAATTATATATTGACGATGCACTTTATTCTAACAAATCCAGAAGAAATTTGCTTAATTTTAAAGATATCCACTACAATGGATATCATATTGAGAGGATGTAAGAAAATAATATTGAATATCTTTGCATAACCTCTTTCGTATCTGATCAAAAGTAGATAAAAGAAAAATTTTATACACTTCCATCCGGCATGTAGTATACATTTATAAAAATAGTTGAATCAAATAATGTCACGAACCAAAAGTTCGTTGACCCAAAAAATTTTATTCTTTGGTATGATCGACTTGAACATTCAGGAGCTATAATGATGTGTCGAATAATAAACAATTCACATGGACATCCTTCAAAGAACCAGAAGATTCTTTTACCTAATGACTATCCATGTGTAGATTGTTCGCAAGGCAAGTTAGTCATTAGACCTTCAACTATAGAGGTCAATATTGAATTTCCAACTTTTTTGGAAAGAATTCATGCAGATATATATGGGCCAATACACCCACCATGTAAACCATTTCGTTATTTTATAATATTAATTGATTTTTCTATTAGATGGTCACATGTTTACCTACTTTTCACTTGGAATGTAGCATTTGCTAGACTACTTGCTCAAATTATAAAATTGCGAGCGCAATTTTTCGATTACTCAATTAAAACTAGTCGCTTTGACAATGTTGATGAATTTAGATCACAAGCATTCGATGATTATTGTATGTCAATCGGGATTGTAATTGAACATTCAGTTGTGCATGTCTATACACAAAATAGTTTGACAGAGTCGTTTATTAAACGTCAACAACTTATTGTTAGACCATTACTTATGAAAACAAAACTCTCAGCTTCTGTTTAGTGTCATGTCATATTACATGCTGCATCATTGGTTCGTATTAGACCAACTGTCTATTATCAATATTCATCTTTGCAACTAGCATTTGATTATGAACCTGATATTTCTTATCTACGGGTCTTTGGTTATATTGTCCAAGTCCTTATTTCACACCCACAACGTACTAAAATGGATCCCCAATGAAGACTTGAGAATTATGTGGGTTTTGATTCACCATCAATTATTAGGTATCTTAAGCCTTTAACGGGTGACTTATTTACTGCACATTTTGCAGATTGTTATTTTGATTAAATGATTTTTCCAACTTTGGAAGGAGAAAAATTATATTCTGAAAAACAAGGTAAAATTATTTGGAATGAAGCAACTCTATCTCATTTTGATCCCCGTAACAATCAATGTAATCAAGAGGTTGAAAAAATCATTTATTTGCAAAGAGTTGCAAATCAATTACCTGATGTATTTGTTGACACTAGAAAAGAGACAAAGTCATATATTCCAGCAGAAAATATTTCAACAAAAATTAATGTCCCTGTAGGACAATCTGTTGTAGCAAATGAATCTTAAATACGCCAGAAGCGTGGTCGATCAATTGGTTTAAAAGACTCTGTACCTCGAAAAAGAAAATTACATGAGAAAAACCAACCAAAAATTTCGGAAGAAGTCACATTAGAAAAGATTAATCAATCAGGTATTGAAAATACAGTTCATGAAAAACCACAAATATTTGAAAATAATGAGATCTCAATAAATTATTTGTTATCTCATAAATTATGGGAACAAAATAATGTTGTTATAGACAATATTTTCGTCTTTAATGTGGCTCTTGATATTATGCAAAATGAGGATCCTGAGCTACAGTCGGTTAAAAACTGTTAAAATAGAAATGATTGGTCAAAATGGAAAGAAGTCATATAATCAGAATTGAATTCTTTGAAGAAACGAAAGTGTTTTGACCTGTAGTTCGAACCCTTGAAAATGTAATCCTTGTTGGATACAAATGAGTTTGTGTACGAAAAATGAATGAGAATAATAAAATTACAAGGTACAATGCCCGACTAGTAGCTCAAGATTTCTCACAAAGATAAGGAATTGATTATGAAGAAACATATTCTCCCGTAATGGACACCATCACTTTTAGATTTTTAATTAGTTTGACTGTATCACAAAAGCTTAATATGTGCCTTATAGATGCAGTAACTGCATATTTGTATGGTTCACTTGATAGTGACATATATATGAAAGTCCCTGAAGGGTTTAAGGTGTCAGGAACAAACGATACATGGTCGAGAACCATGTTCTCAATTAAATTGTAAAGATCATTATATGGATTAAAACAATCTGAACTCATGTGGTATAATCGTCTCAGAAAATATTTGTTGAATGAGGGTTATAAAAATGACGATGTCTGTCCATGTGTTTTCACAAAGAGAACAAATAGTGGATTTGCAATTGTGGCAGTTTATATTGATGATTTAAATTTAATTGGAATTCTTGAAGAACTCAACAAAGCTGTTGATTATTCGAAAAATGAATTTGAGATGAAGGATTTGGAAAAAACTAAATTTTATCTTGGATCGCAGATGGATTATTTGTTCATCAATCTACGTATACAGAAAAAGTTTTAAAACGTTTTTACATGGATAATGCACATCCATTGGCATCACCTATGGTTGTTCGATCACTTGATGTGGAAAAAAATTCATTTCGTCCATTTGAAGATGGAGAAAAAGTTCTTGATTCTGAAGTACCATATCTTAGTACAATTGGAGCACTAACTTATCTTGCAAATTGCACTCGACCCGACATAGCTTTTTCTCTAAATCTTCTTTCAAGATATAGCTTTACACCAACTCAAAGACATTGGAATGGTGTTAAACATATTTTTTTTTACTTTAAGGGTACCATTGATTTGGTATTATTTTATTCTCAAAAGTTGGGATATGCAGATGCAGGTTATCTATCTGGCTCACGTAAAGCTAAATCACAAACAGGTTATGTAGCAATCATTGATAGCCACATCCTTAAATCATTCTGAAATTATTTCAGTCTATGAAGCGGGTCGAGAATGTGTGTGGTTAAGAAACATGACCCATCATATCCAAGTATCATGCGGATTAACTTCAATAAAGGATAATCCAATAATTTTGTATGAAGATAATGCGACTTGTATTGCACAACTCAGAGGAGGCTATATCAAAGGTGACAGAATGAAGCATATTTCTCCAAAATTCTTTCATATACATGAGTTTCAAAAGAATGATGATATCGATATCCAACAAATTCGCTCAAGTGACAATGTGGCCGATTTATTCACAAAAGCACTACCAATATCTACATTCAAGAAATTAGTTCAAAAGATTGGAATGTGTCGACTCAAAGATTTTTAGTGATCAACATCAGGAAGAGTAGCTGTACTCTTTTTCCTTCGCTTAGGTTTTGTCCCACTGAGTTTTCCAAGCAAGGTTTTAATGAGGCAACATTTATTTTTAGTACTCCAAAATAACTGTACTCTTTTTCTTTTGTTTGATATTTTTTCCATTGAATTTTTATCAAACAAGATTTTAATGAGACAGGTATTGTACAAATAATCATCAAAGTAGGAGTGTTGTAAAATAATGAGATAATTATTGAGGATTATTTAGTATTAGCATGATACATGGATAAATCTTATCTAATTTAGAAGATCTATTTTATTCCAATTGTAACTCTTATTTTGGACCTTATAAATATAGGACATTGGTTTATAATAATACAGTTGAATTTTAACTCTTTATTTTTTCTCTTATTTTTTCTCTTCCCTTTTGTTTTATAACAATATATACACACATATAATATTGACGTAGCGGAAGTCTATCGGAAAGAGCAAAACCTCACAAAACTTGCACTTGTTGATTTGGAAGATGATACCAAGATGGAGAGAACAATTTGAGAAACTTCTTTAAGAGTTTTATTTAATTAGTCAAAACTCAACTAACTGTAAATTTAAATTACAACACGTATTTAAAACCCTAAATAAAACCTAGATAATAACTAACTCCTAGATAATGACTAAATCTAGAAAACAATAAGAATAAAAAATGAAATCAAAATTTAAACGGAATTAAAATCCTAATCTAAATTTCGGAGCCCTAAACATTTGAATTGGGCCTAAACAGGCTGTAAGTTGGACCGTTTCCACTCAAAATATACACAAATATCTTCGAAAACGAACACTTCCAAAATTTTTTTTTTTTTTGGGCGGGGGGGGGGGGGGGGGGGGAAAAAAAAAAAAAAAAAAAAAAAAAAAAAAAA